TACACATTGTAAATTATTTTCACAGCAATAAGTGCAGACGCGTTCTCCACTACATTTTTTATGTTTATCTCTACAACTTTCACACGCAATGCGTATATAAGGTCCTCTTGAGGATGATAATTGAGTCATTGTAGTCTCAGCAACTTGACGGGTGAGGACTAAATAATAGAATAGTCAGTCTTTTAAGTAAGCAATACAAAGAAACAAATATTTTTTATTTATTAATTTTGAAGTTCATTGTTATAGAATTTCTTCAATCCCAAATAAAGGCATGCACAAAATACGGTTTAAATTAATTACAGATTAAATATATACCTTAATATATATTTCTTAGTTCTCAGTTCATCATTGATAATATAAATAATTTTTATGAATATACTATAGGGCTTTAACAGCTTTTATTTTATTTTATTTTTTTTGTACTTTAAAATATTAGACTTGATCCAATTTGTTAAATAGTACTAAAAATAAATCCGTTTCCAAATTTGTATATGGTCTTTTATAACATGTCTGCATATATAAAATGTTATCTAATAGGATACCAATAGACATTCTTATTGCTACCAGGTTTTAGTGCCAAGCGAGGTCAATAGGGTATCAATAGATATCAATCAGAATAATATTATTCTGATTGATGCTTATTGCCTATTGATTTCTTTTAGTGCCAAAATCTGGCAGCAATAGAAATGTCTTGGATATTATTTTACAGTACATATGTTAAAAAGCTTGAAAATATTTTAAATTTTACGGAAGATCAATTTTCACGGCATTTGTTTAGATTAAATTTTATACGTACTTCAATTTCTCAATAAACTGGAACAAGGGTCTTTGTTATTAATATTGAAGGTAAAAACACAAAATCGGCGAAAACATTATCCAAATTTATCAATCTTGTCTGCTAAATTAAAATAAGAACCTGTACGTACGTAAAGTAGTAAAAATAGAGTTTCTCAAAGATTTGTATATTACGGAACATATGCTTAAAATTGGCTTTGTAATTAAATCTATACAATATGTCTAATATAAATATGCCTAATCTAAATGGATGTAATATATTCAGATGAATATATATTATTAATACTGCGTAAATCACGAGACCTATATACTAAGTTAATTTCTCGTTGGTTTCATAAATTCAGTCGGGATATAAATGTTTAATTTATTTGTGTAGCGGTGATGATATACGATCAGAATGTATCAAATATAAAAAGATGTAAGGAATAAGTCCCCGATGTTTATTATTTATTGATTGAACCTGAAAACAAGCTGCCTTTATAAAAGGAAATCTTTATTTTCTTGGTAATTGCAATACGGGAGTTTTTAAAGGTGTAAAATTAAAAAATTTACTTCTTGATTATCTAGTGAAACATAATACAATTGTAACTCAATTTTACCAAAATAGTAATACGGATATTCGTATTTATCATTGTTACATTTCTTCTTCCTCATTTATCGTCATTTACTTTGAAAATTTTAAGTCTCAATACGTAACAATTACACCAAAAATATACAGAGTACCATAGGTGACCATGTACGATAGAACAATCTATATAGAATATTATCACAAATTTGGACAATGGACATGCTAAAAACTAATTGAGAATACCATAATTAGAAAAATCCAACTTTTAATTTATTTAAAAGATCTACGTAACTACCATATACAACAATAGCGATAGTAACCTCTACGTATGTATTATACCCAGCTGCGAATTTCGCATGCCATCAATGAGAACTATGCATGCCCTTTAAAAATTTCCTTTTAATGATATTAACTCTTCATGTAAGTGTACGTACCTACTATATCCGGGTCTATTACGGGTTCTAACATTGGTGGAACATAAGCGACAAGGTCTTTTATACGGTAACCACCGCCGCAACCCATAAGAAATTCAGAACACAGTAAACGCGGATCTAGTGATAGATTTGTTAAAGTATTCAAAAATTTTAGTTTTACTATATTTGGTCTGGTTTTATTCGGCTTTAACTTAAATTATGAAATTCAGGTGATACAATTTACATAATTGAGCATTATCAAATCACACGTAAACGATTGATCACTGTATTAATATTTATGTGTATTAATATTCATAAATTATTATGCGTAGTAACTCGGTTATGATCATGAAGTCACAGAATTCAAATTTTAGGTGCATAAATGTGCAATATATATTTTTTTTGAATACGCTATAACAATAAGTATATGAAAAACAATACTCTTTCATATACATAGACAAAGACCATGTGATTGCACATCATATTACTATATTAAGATTAAACTTTATACAAGTTTACATATTTGTATAGTTATGAAAGATTGAGTTAAATTATTTGTGCTCGCATATAGTATACAAAGTTGCTTTATGAGGTATTTCGTACATTAACTTTTAAACCTGTGGTAGAACCGCGGAATAAATCTTGCTAGCTTATTCACCTATTATGGCTTCTCCGCGTGATTATTTGCCAATAAATAATGTGACTGACAAAAAGTGACATTTCCGAAATGATAAACTGTGCCATAAATCCTGTGAGTAAGAATTAAACCGCCACAAATATCGAAGCATTGAATCTTCGGTTATGACACATGAATTTGTCAGCCGAATTGATAATGTCGGCCGAGTAAACAGATGCGTAGATAAACATTCTCAATGAAAGATACCCGTGGCAGTGTGTTTAAATTCTACTCAAGCAAAGCATTAAGAAAGGTGGTCAAAGCCTCTTTTAATCATACATCCACAAAGTTATTTAAAGGGTGTAACATCGATAGAAGTTGGTTACAACTCTTAGTTGTGGGAAGGTGCACATGAAGATCACTATAATAAACATAGTCACTCCTCTGGCGAGTTGCCTTACCTATTTCTCCTTGTTTACTTTAATAAAGATATACAGTACGTTAAATTCACCTCATGTTTCGATACGTTTACCCAACAGGATTTATTCCTAGTGCTATTTAACATTGAACAATATGACTACCTAGGTCATATAAATTTGGATATAATCTAAAATGATAAGCAATATTCGAGTAGAACTTTACATGATTAGTTCAAATCGGTTCACATCAACTCACCGACAGTCATTTAACCGAATGTTCACTTAGCTGACATCACATAAGGTTAGGGTTAAGCATTTGATTAGTTGCAGGTATATATTTTTAATAAATTTCGTTGGCGTGATGTCTGCTAAATGGGCTGTCGGTGAAGTGATTGTCAGTGAAATAATACGGACCCATATCAACAGCAAAAACTTAATTGTAATGCTAAAATTAAGGCAGATAAGACCAATTCTGCAAACAGTGTAATATACTGCTTAATCAAATTTTAATCTGTTATTGATAAGAAAAAACCATAGAAATAGGTTTAATGACTTCCATCTCAATATTAAATGGATAATAATCCTATAGCGGATTTTTTATAATATTCGATCACATTATTTCGTCCTTTTCAATGTCAATACTTTCGTGATAATATTTCAACTTTAAAAGGTAAATTCAGGCACAGTGAAATTTAAGTTTCACTTACTCGCTTTAATTTAACAAAATACACCACTGATTCAGCCAGGCACGGGTTAAGGCACTGATTTCAGCCAAGCGCAAGTTATAAAAGGGTTGGTATTTAATTCTTCGTGGTTTCTTTTTTTGTGTAGTTCAAAAAAAAAAAAACTACCTTTTGTCACTAATTTTTGCGAAGAATCTAGGTAAAGCATTAACGTGAATAAAATGAAATAGTAAATATCCATGAACTTAAATAGTTTGTTTTATATTAAAATTATTGTATAGTTTCTTATGATATGAATGTCCAATTTTTTTCCATATTGTATATATGAAATTAAATCGGACTTTCAATCGTCAGACAACTATACAATAACTATAAAATATACTTTATAGGGGTAGATACGCGATTTTGATAAGTTGTTTAACATAGGCAATACACACATTAATTAATATTATATGAATCCTTAACAAATGAAAGTTATCATTTAACGTACTTAAAATATAATGCAGTGCTCAGATTTATGAATCGTTACTTTTACAAAATTCTTATTCATTTACGTTCACTTAATCGAAGTAAGAAAGAGTACCTTAGGCAAGATTCAAAGTTTACAAATATTTGCTATTGCAATGCTTCTTATTTCATTTCAAATTAACCTATGATTATAAGAACTATTAATCAATAGATTTACTTAAAATATGCTATCACTTCCATCGCACTAGTAGATTATATAATAAATTGCTGAAAGATGGTTTCTTATGCTAATTTTTGAACAAACAAGTAATATTTCTAATTTTTCAAAAACGAGCATTTGTTTATCATGATTCTCTATTGGCTTATTTTGGCGGAAAACTACGAGCACAACATTTCACGTGACTTATAGACACAACACAACATCGGCCTGAGAGTTAACGTTAGCATTAGAGTAAGAGTATTTTAGTAATGCCGGTCATTATTGTTTCCGTAAGCACATAAGCACGTGAAATGTTGCAATCTCCGGTAAATCTTCACGTGATTCTATACATGTTGTGTCACGGGTTAAAAGTGATATTTCCGAAAAAATTTCCGAAATTAAGGAGTAACTGCGCCGTAAATCCCGTAAATGGAAAATTAAAAACACTGCCACCGAACAAGTTTTGAATATTCGGTTATAACGCGAGGCTTATTATTATCGGCCGAATCGTGATAGTCATACGTAAAAACCGAAGAACTAGTACGCGCAAACGAGAATTTAAGAAAAAGAAGAAAAGAACTTGTTATTTTCTGGCTATAACCTTCTTGCATAAAACGAAAGAATAATATAACTTGCCTTAATGAAAAAAGTCACTTTCCCTGCTATGAAGTATCATCGTGTCATATCAATAAAAGCACCTTCATTAAACAAAATAGAAAACATTTTAATGAGTTCGGGCTGTGGATGAAATTAAAAGCCTCTTACGCCTTATAAAAATTTTGTATAAGAGATAAGAACATTTTGTTAATAATCCATCCAAAAATAAAAACAATAAAACCCTAAACTTCTAAATAAATACTTGCCAAATCACCTAACTGACGAATTACTTGATTTTTCTCGCTTGTAAATTGCACTTTTGTACTTTTGTATATCTTTCAAGTTTGAGTTAAATTCCGCCTGTAACAGTAATCAGAAATGTAAAAAAAGGTGAGATTGTTTATTGCCAGCATAAAGGTATTTAATGGTCTTTAATTAGTAGAGGATACTATCTTCATTTTCGTTATAGTTCGTCTTGTAGTGAGGGCTATTGTCCTCTTTCTTCAAATGTTGCGGATTTCACGTTTTGATGATTAAGCTCAACGGCTGCCATAAGCAATGCAAGAACTTATGTGTTAGTGTTAAACTCAGCGGCTCGGCTGGCGTATGCATTGCAGGGCTTTCATGCTTGATGACTAGGCTTCGCGACTGAAACAGCGGCGCAAGGATTTATGGTTTAGTAATATTGACGTTGCTATATAATACTATATCGTTATAATTATGTAATTCATTCTTGGCTACATTTCTTTCTACGAGGTTATAATACAGTCAACTATGGATATAAGAAATTAGGTCTATGAATAAAATCCTTTATATGGTTAGAGAGATCACCTATGCCTAGGGATAAATACATATGTATCAAATTATTACGCAAGCTAGTAGACTACATAGAAGTTTTGAATGCCTATGTAGAATTTTTAATAATTTTTAGCACACTTTTTAAAATTTGGTCAACACTAAGAAAAAAATGAAGCTGTTCCGAAATATCCAAAATAGAAAACAACGGAGTAAATCGCAAGATTAAGACCAAAATTCAAGTTACGAACTATTTCTAGAATTAAAATGGTGTAGTATACAGTAAATTAAGTATGAAGAGAATCAAAAAAATTTGAAATTTATCAAAGAATTCATAAATATCGAATGCAAATTAGTGTTACGAACAGGTCGGTTCAAATGTCCCGAAACTGTTCTGGTTGTAATGTATTTACTATATCAGTCATGACCTATATTCTAACATACCAATTTTGGGCATTCGGGTCGACCCGTTCGAAGTACTAAATGCAACGATAGGCAATGAATATCATTACATTTGAAGCATGTAGGTAATTGATCTTGTTAAAAGCTACATATTTTTGCAACAAAAGAAATGGCTTAAAATCTGTTGAATCAAATTTTATACTAGTCTGAAAATTGGGTGACTATAAAAACTTAAAGAAAATGAAGCATCTTCCAAGAGCATGGATAAGTGAAATAAAAACACTTTACTAGCAATAAATTTAAATTTTGATTAAAATACAAGTTTTTAAACCGATTTTTACTAAAACACACCTATGGTGTTTTACACCTATATATAAGCTTATATTATCTCAAAAACTGGCTAATTGATAAGTATGAGTGGTGTCTTAAGTAAAAATGTTCTATTCTCCAAAAAACCCCTAAAAATTAACTCTAATGTAAAAATTTTGGATAAAAACTTATAAAATCTAAAGAATATAATAAAAACAATAATAGATGCGAAACCAACATGGGTGTGTTTTATAATAAATGTTTAAAATTACAGTTGATACAACATTTATTATAAAAGGTACCTATGGTGGTTTGGCACCTATCATATGTTTTTATTATGTTTTATAGATTTTTCTTTGTTTATTAATTTTTAACGCAAAATTTTTACGTTAGGATTAGTATTTAAGATAGAGCTAAGGTTTGGGTGTATTTTTGCGGGCATAGAATATTTTTACTTAGAACACCCCGCACCGATTAATTAACTAGCTTTTGAGATAATAATATTCATAGGTGCAAAACACCATGGTAAAAGTCTGATACAATTTACGTATTCTATTGGGTATTACCAAGCTTGATTAAATTTATTAGTTGACCAATCATTTTAAAATTTTATAATAAATCACATTAAGAAAACATTCTTTTGTCCAAATTGCCTTTGGAAATCAATAAGATTTTGTAAGTTTTGGGTAAATTCGGTGCCGAAATCGATTGGTACAAAAATCTTGGATGATCTGCATATTCATAACCAAAATTTCTAGATAAAACCAAATACAACAAGCTTAGTGCTCAGATCCATATGAGCTAGGTTTTAGAAAAAGGCCGAAATGACAATTTGTTCAAAAGAATTTTTTTATATAAATTAATAGGGATTTAATTTATAGTGCTATAGCACTATGGTGCTAGGTATTGTAACTTAGTGATCTAAGTCGATAGCACTTTAGTCGACTTAGTCGACTTAGCCGGCTAAGTCAGTCGATTTTTTTCAAAAAACCGGCCTAGTCGACTTCTAATAATCCAAATCAATTCTTGCCTCAGGTGTCGATTGGCCTGAATTAGAGTTAGGGTTAGAGTAAGAATTAGGCTATAGTTTAGCCAATTAATGTCGATCAGTTAATGCCGGCCAAATGATCAATACCTGAGGTGCCTCAGTTATCACTTGAGGCAAAAATCGATCTGAGGCACAACAGATACAATCTTTTGGCAGGTATGTACGTACATGCAGTGAAAATCATCAGGTATGATTACTATAATTATATTGTCCATGACTACATTCCAGGTATCTAATTTTTGCATGATCCATAAATGCAGCCAACACCTTATCAAAAGAAATATCTATTGTAGTTAATAAGAAAAATAATGTAAGTGTGTGGGCAGTTAATCCAATTTATGTAGAGGACTATTTATAGGAGGGTCAAACCCAATATACAGAGCAGACTATGAAATCTTACACAGCAATGCAAACCGAGCTTGAAATGGCAAACAACCTTATAGAAGACAACTCTAATACTGGCAAATCATTTTCAACATCTATAGACCCCTATAATAAGCCAACCTAATATACAAACTATACAAATACTTTTTATACTAATGAATCACACATAATTATATATAATCCTAATATATGTTATAACAAGATTTTATTATCTCTCAATCTTCCTATACTTCCCTATCTTCAAGCTATCACTTTTTTTATTAAACACTTTGAATCCTTCTACTACAACCTTAATAATATATACAACTTTACATTCTATCTAACAATTAAAGAAGACTACAGTATAGCATGTGTCTATTCTCAGTCTGAATACAGATTTGTACAATGTGGCTATTTTACAACACCAGTTGAAAGCTACAAATATTTTCCCTTCATTCTCCTCTCTATTATCTCAGATATCAACTCTCTTAAATCAAAAACTATTTCTAATATAGTTAAAGATGATTGAACCTACAATCCATATTGTTACTTTCAACAAGATGTCTATTTTGGCCTATACAAGACTGAACAAACCACTAACTCAGACTCAAGACCTCTTCCATATTCATTACATCTTTGCTATAATAGATTTCTCAGATACCATAACTTGCCAACACTACCTGAACTACAAACTATTATTTCATTTCTTAATCATCCCAGCCTTTTTGGTTACAATCTAGAAAACTTACATATCTATACTCTTATTATCTTTATTAAAAAAGACTATTCTGAAGCATATATATACTGACCTTTTGAATCTAAAACACTATCAGATCACTTTGTTTTACCTAGAGAAGCTTTAAAGCATTATCACAATAATACTCTTAAATCTAATAGCTACATTACATCTAATATACTAATAGATTTCTTTTTAGCTACTCCATTATTAATATCTGAATCTCTTACTACAGTCAATACAAATCATTAACAAACTCAATATACACAACCTAATAGTTCGCAAGATCTTACATTTAAACTAAATATTGCAACACATAATATATAAGAATACAATATGCAAGAACAAAATCTACTATAGAAAGATTATTATTTAACTAATAATCTACATATTGTTAGTTTAACAGAAACCAAAATTGCTAAAAGTACATCTACAAAATTTTTCAACACTCAACAATACAGATACTATTGGTCTAACTCAGCAACTACTAAAGAAGGAATATGTTTAATGCTTTGCAACTATATTTAAACCTATATACACAAAATACTTACCCATATTGGTGAAGCAATTGCTATTGATCTGTTCTTCAAACATGACTATAAACCCAGAATTATTTTTGTATACCTATTATTAACTAATACTACTACACAAAAACTTATACAAAATACAACAATTATTTGGATACAATAGGCATTATCTAATAATTTGCAACCTATTATTCTAGGAGACTTTAATGCTAATAATGATACTACTATATCATCTGCAATCAAATTCTAACTTCTTAACTACCTACATAATACTAATATGTATAACTTGGCAAATTATACAAACAATCTACGAAACACTTGGTATAGCACAAGATACCAAAGTAGAATTGACTACATTTGAGCAAACAATACTCTTATACCTTACTTACACACTTTCAAAATTGATAACTCACTATTCTCATCCTATAATGATCACCAAATTCTAATAACCAACTGGATATTTTTCCTTGCACTAACCAGAACAAACTACAAGTTTAAATGCAAGCATAGAGTATATGATTACAAACAAATGACTAAAAAACAATGAGAAAACTTTACTGACCAAGTTAACATTAACATGACTTGATATAATATATCTATTTCTGCTACAACAATTGAAAGTCTTAAAAAAACTTGGCATAAAATTTATATCTGTATTATTCAAGCTGCAATACAACACATTTTTAACAAATAATATACTATTAAACACCTATTTTACTTTTTTACATCTAAAGCAACACAGCTTCATAAAGACCTTAAAACTATAGAATACATTATGCACTACACTAAAAGTTCTTCTTCTATAATACCTGTCTAGCTAACCACATCTTGAACTTGATTAACTACATTAATACTACTCATAGCTTTTTAATTAACTATCCACCTACTAAACAAACAAAATAGCAACATAGCTTCAACACACCAAAACAAACTGGAAAACACTTTCAATACTAAAAATCTAGAAAATGCCTAACATTTACAAAAACATATAAACAAAGCTATTGCCAAAAAATGCAACCAACTATTATCTCAACCTACTAAAATAATCAATAGTATACAGTCAGACCTCTTTATAATTACCATATTTTCGCGTAATAACGGCTATGAGCGTTATTTAGAAAATCGTACCCCTTAAAAATAGCATGCATAGTCTTAAAATAATGCCCATGCGTGTCCCTAAATAACATGCACCCCGTATATGACTAGTTGCAATCCTGAATTTTTTTGTTTCAATTTGATTACTGCTACTGTATTTGTTGTGATATAAAAATAACGTTTGGTTCAATGATGAGCTATTTTATATTAAACTACTAAAAAAGCTGTAGTGTTCTAAAATTTGTACATATCATTATTTATTTTCTGTGATTTATTTTATTTTTTATTTTTAAACCTTTTTATTTTTTTTAAATTTTTTAGTTAATTTATTTATTTATTAATCCTATTATTTTATTGTATATTATTTTTTTCAATTTTCAATATTTATTACGTAATAACCTTTTTTCAATATTTATTAATCTCTTTATTCAATTTTACTTAAAATATTAAATTAATGCGAATCAACACAAATAGATAAAATGAGAGGTAAGTATTAATAAATCTGAATTACAAAAGTCGAAATATATTTATCATTTCAAACACTAACAATTTTGATATTTACCAACTAATGCATATATCGATATGAGCACTGCCAAGAAAAATGAGACTTCGGGTTTCAAGTTTATCTGCCTTCGCTTTGTCGATCAATCCTCATTTCGGGTCCTGAGTCATGTGGCTTGAACCACATTTTCATAACTGCAGCTAGGTCATATTTCCTGTTACAATTCTCTTGTGCATATTTATGTATACCATACCTTCGGCGGATTATGCTAGACAGAAGCACTTGGAACATGGAGAAGGAGGAAGAAAGGAATGACTTGGTCTGGAGTACGATTAGACCACCTTGGCCTTCACTTAGTAGTCAGAGCAACTGGGTTGTAGAATTTTTTCCTTATCCTTAGCTTTACTTCATCCATCGATGTTTCTTCTTATCTATTTTTGCACAGGTCTTATTCCTTGCCAGACCAGGCTCTATCGTTACGACTTATAGGCAGGTTCATCTCACATTCTTAAAAAACTGATTTTAACTTGGATTTATAGCTTTAGACATCAGAGGTTTTGGATAGTTCATTGAATTGTTAGGATCAAATTTTTTTTTACTAAAAGTGTGGGTAATATAAACCGCTGAATTAAATTGGTTTGGCCTAATGGTAAGGCTATGATCGAGGCATAAAAAGACTTGGTCTGAGTAACTGAATTAATTATAGCTCTATACGTTAATACAGATTTTACTTATCGGGGAAGGAACTAGTTAGAGCCAAATAATATGGAACTCTAAGCTAAGCTAGGCTATCTTCAGCTGTTCTTTATTAAGGATGAAAAGGTAGTGCTTTTATATTTTTGCGCTATTAATTTGTGCACAATGAATATGTTCGCTAAATTGACTAAATGCACTAAATCGACAAATCGAATAAATGCGATAAGATAAATTCAATAAATTCGATAAATTCGATAAATTTGATAAGTTAAACTTCCTCCATACTAACTAATTTTGGAAAGCCATGTTCAAGTTAATTCCTCTGACTTCACCGAACACATACGTTCTCAAAAAAGTACTTTAAAGCACTACCCAGGCAATTGATTTATATCAACAGATCAACAGGTTACACACTTGAGGAAGGTATAACATCTACAAGTTACCAAAAAATCAGCCCTTGTTTCAAAATAACGCCTATGCACGTACTCTAAATAATGCGCATATACTCAAAATAACGCACAGATGGGCGTTATTACGCGTAAATACAGTACAAGTTGATCACACCCTATTTTTGTAATTGTATAGAGATGTGATTATAAAATTTAAACCTCTATATAATCACAATTATAGTAATAATTATAAATTGTGATTATAATTTTTATATCTTATAACTCTTAAATTTAATCTGAATAGTATAATTAAGAGTTATAGAGACAAGTGAAATTTTATCACACATAATATTTATTGCATTTATTGCATTTATAATACATATTTATAGATAAATTAGCTGCATAATATAGGATAGATTTTTGTTTGCATAACTATCTTTACCAGTGCCTTTTTAGTTTTCAGAAGCTTGAAGCAGAGATATGTTAGAAAAATATAGTTAGGTGCAAAAGTGCATTTATTAATCCTAATTGAATAAACAGTTATTTAACACCATATATATAAGCAAGTAAAGTCAGGTATATATAATTTAATTTATTGCTTAATTCTATTTATGAAATGAGATCCTACTTCATTTCATAATTCACAAATAACATATACCAATTCCAGATCAATCTAAATTGCATAACAATACAGAACAAATAAACTACAAAATCTGCATTTCTTCTCAAATAATATAAAATTTTATATAAACTTAAAAAAGACATCTGTAGATATATTGATCATATATATTTATCATAGAATAGAAGCAAAGATGAAATGTTTCAAAACTTTGAATGAAGATATCTTGGCAACCACTTAAGCAAATTCTATGAACTTTTTTTATTTTATTTCTGCAGACTTGTAGAATTAAAATAAAAAAAATCATTGGATTTGTTTAGATAGTTGCCAAGATAACTTCATTCAAAGTTTGATAAAGAATTAAGCTGCAGATCTACTTGGAAGCAACCTTAAAAAATTATTTATACATAATGTTTGTACCAAACTTGTAATCCTTAGATCTAATGCCAACACTAAATTTTCTATTTAGATAAGATAATTATATATTGCATATTATTCTTAATTTGTTAATTTATTTATTATTGATTTGTTAGTGAGATGTAGCAACTTAGTGAAGTTGACAAGTTGTTGCACCTCCAAGTGGCAGGACCAGAGTTTGAATCCTACTGGTGATGAAAATTCGAATTTACAGAAAATGCATTTGGAAGATGTATTCTATTAGATTATAGAAACTGTGATGGAATCGCACCAGCTTGTACTGGAAGGTAGTAGAACATGTAATGTGATGTATGAGTTATATAAAACCCAAGTGAAGCTACTGAATAAATCTAGCAGATTGATGGGATACAGGAGCCTGCTTGGCAAGACTCAAGTGAAAAGGTAGTTCAGATCTTTAACAGTTATTATATAAAAGATGACTGGCTGAATACTGGAAAACCAGACAAGACTGAGGTGTTTGGCAAGATTATTATACCAACTAGACCAATAAACAAATGGAAGAAGGGTTTGCTCTTCTGGGCTATTAGATTAGAAGTTTGGGGTTCAGAAGTATGGAAGAGAGTCTGTAAAGTAAATACCAGAGTTTGGATAAACTCTGCAAGAGCAGTAGTAGGTAACTGTAGTGGTCTCAGCTCACAAGTACTTGTTCACAGACTCAGCATAAGTTACCAAAAGCCTAGTCTGAAAATGTGTAGGATATAGAAAGATTAGGGGGTATATACTACACTTTCTCTAAAGCAACTCAGTAGTACAAGAACCCTACTAGGTTATCTATAAAATTAGGGTGCAAGTAGTTTAGCACATGTTGATCTGGGTGGTCTTTAATGAAAGCAGCACAAGGTTATGAGGCAGCGTAATTGTGATAGTAGTACAGGAGGTGTAATCTAAATATATTACTAAATACTTAATAAAAATTTGTCTGTTCATGATATTGCAAAGATAAAAAAAAAAAAGATTTGTTAATGTGGTGAAAAAAAAGATACAGAAATAAGTTTTTATTCTCAAATAATCATCCACTATGTGATAATATTTATTAGCATTTGTTTAAATAAAAGAATAATTTAGTACTAGTTATTATTCTTAAATATGAATAAAAATTTGTTGCAGATTATTTTTTGGATCTTTTTCAACCACTAAATATTAGACATTTTATATATTATTGACAAACTAGTGCAATCATTATGTAAATATGAATATAACAAAATTAGCAACAGATTAATATAAATGTTAAAAGTTGCCAACAATATAAAAGCGTTATTTAACTATGTTAATGATACTGGGATGAATGATACTAAGATTTATAGATTCGACCAATCAGATTTCATAAAGAAATCTATTCTGAAATATTCTAAATAAGACTCACATAATTTTTGCATGTCTTTATATTTTATTTATAATAAAGTAAATTATTTTTATAAAAACAATTGAAATTTGAAAAATTTAGACCAAAGAATAATGCATAACAAAATATTAACTTGGTGTAACATTGGAGATTAATTAAATAATTTATTTATACTTATTGCTATTTACTGTAGAAGATAAAAACAATTATATGACAGAAAATTTATTTATCAAAATTAATGTCACTCATAGCTATACATGGAAGCAACATTATTTTAATAAAAGAATACTGAAATCATTATTTTTTATCATTACTAGTATTGTCTATTTAGATAATTACTTGTTCGATATATTGTCAAATGTCAATATTTATAAATTGTGAATAAACTTTAAAGTAATTTTACTTTGTTAGTTTTATATGCTATTATTTAATATGTATATAATATAAAAATTTATTTTCTAAATAAAATAAATCTATTATATATTATATATATGCTGTATATTAAATATGAAGAAAACCCATTATAAAAAATTTAACTTATATTTAATCTTTATAAGTAAAGAAGTTAGTTATTACAACCTGCTTTTTGGTTTGAAATTCAAGCTTTTTGACTATTTTAAGATATTTTTTTAAAAATATATATATCTTCTTTTTTGAACTTATTTGATTATTGTTGCTTAAAAAAAGCTATCCACATATACAATTATTTACTTGCATTATTTAATAATACTAATTCAGGTTCCTTTTTAGAATCATCAGAATAATTTGAATTATCTTTTTTACTGCAAATTTTATTTTGAATTAACTCTATAATATCATTTTCATTTAAAATATCTTCAGTTAGAATTTTTTCATCAAGACTACCAAAATAGTTATTCAATACATCTACTAATAAATTAGAATAAGAACTATCTTCAATTATCTGATTTGTATCTTCTTCACAGATTAATATATCTTGCTCAATTTGTATTACATTAGAGAGATAATCTTTAGCAACTATAAGTAATATGCCAGTTTTTTCTAGCAATTAGCTATAGTTTCTTCAGATACATTGCTCTATGCATCTACTACATAATTAATTGCATATTTAATAGTTAGCTTGTTTTTATTTATATCCATACCATCTTCAAAGAGTAGTGATACAAATAATGAAAAATTTTCAATCAATTAGTTGATAGATCATTTTATCCAACTAATCAATCAATTAGTTTTTATTCAAATAATCAATTAGTTGGCCAATCGATTAATCGATTGGCCAACTAATCAATTAGTTGAATAATAATACATGAAACTTGGTAAAATACACATAAGGTAGCAACTTAAACGCTAGTCAATATTCTTATATGATCGGTTGATTTAATCGACCAATTGACTAGCCAATTAATTAATTGACCAATCGACTAATCAATTAATCGATTAGTTAGCTAATCAATTAATTGACTAAGTTGGGTCTGTAAAATTCAAATTGATTAGTTGTCAACTTTACAACTAATCGATTAATTCAATTTTGATTTGTAATACTATCAAAGAGCTTTAAAATAAAATAGCAATAATTTCGTTTATAGTGAGCTTTAAAACTTGCAATAATCCCTGCATCTAATAGTTGAAGGTAACTTGTAGTATTAGGTGGTAAAAAAGCAACTTCAATATGAATTAAATTTAGTTGAGAAATATTAGGGTAAGTAGAGTTATGCTTTTTGCTTTTACACTTAGTATCTATTAATATTAAAATTTAAATTTAATTAAAAAGCATATTACTACAAAAAGCAATTATTATACAAATAACTCAAATTTTGTATAAAGTACATTATATAAATATAATCAAACTTTTCTATAGTTACACCTTTTATAGTCACAAAATTAATATAATTACAAATTTATTGTTACTAATAATTTACAATTATATAAAAAAAATATCTTTATATTAGCACACCTCTTTATAATTACAGTATTTTGTATTCTAAAGGTGTAAATATAGAGGTGTTTGACTGTAGTATATTAAAATAAATAAATTATTGATTACAAAAAAATCAAGAATATAGAATTTTAATCTTATTGTATAGAATAATATGCCAAAAATAATATATAATTAGTAGCAACTATTTTATATATAAGTTACTAAATTTAAAACAGATACTACTGAATTTAGTATATTTTTAGTCACAATTAATCTTTATTCTATATAAAGTAATTGAGGTTTGTACAAAAAATTAATATTAATTACCATGTTTTGACTTTGACATTTTAGCACAACTTTTATGAAAATTTCTATTTAAGCGAGAAGTAGAACTAGAAGTGCTTTGTTCACCAAAATTATTATATTCAATATCATCATCAGTATTATTATCTTGTTCATCCTCATGCAGATCAAAATGTGACAGTGCATTGTCAACTAAAAGTAAAATTTTTTTATCTTGAGCTCTAAATTTATTATCTATATGTTGAAGTAATTCTTTGAATAAAACTGAATTTATCTATGCTTTAGGACTTGAACGATAATAAACTGGAAGTTTGTTTAAATTTATTCGTCCAAAAGATCTTGGATATAGTGATTTACCAATTACGCATAATACTAATTTCATTAGAAAACATTTTTTATGGTATATATCGATAGCAATCACCTAGTTTCTCATTGATATACATCACCTCTGCTGGGTTATATCGATTATAATATATAATGATATATAGCAAAAATTCGATAAATTTTATCAAACTTTGACATGGATTTTCTCAATAACTATCAATTAAAATTAGTTGAAATTTTTACTATAGATAGTAATTGTATTCAACTATAATATATAAAAATTTCATCCAATTATAATCACTAGTTCACAAAAAATTGCTTGTATATGATAGATAATTTTTTTAAAAAAATTATCTATCATATACAAGCGATTTCTTGTGAACTAGTAATTATAATTGGATAAAATTTTTATATATTATAGTTGAATACAATTACTATCTACAGTAAAAATTTCAACTAATTTCAATTGATAGTTATTGAGAAAATCCATATCAAAGTTTGATAAAATTTATTGAATTTTATAATAATCATTAATAATCAATCACGATATATATTGTTATATAACTATAATTGATATATATCATTAGTGATATAAATCGATATATGGCTAATCATTGATATATATCATATAAAAAATCGATAACCAACAGCCCTGCTGGTAGCAATTGATGCAAATCTTCAAAAAAAAATTTCTGATATTATCAGTTCTGATTGTATTAACATCCAAAAGAACTGTTACTCTAGTTTTATCTTTTTTTGACTTAAAACAGGTATTGATGAAAGAGCTTGATTAGATCACTTTCTATAATAGAGACCTGTCTTATCAATATTATAAATCTAATTAAGTGAGTATTGACTTAAAAAGTCTATGTAATTTAAGTTTTTCTTCAGAAAGAGTCTAAGGGTGCAATTCTTAATTCTCTATGTACACAATACTTTTGAAGATTATTATCATTTTTAAACTTTTTTAACCAGCTATTAGAAAAAGCCAATTCACTTTCTGGTACATCAAATACTGAAGCAAACATTTTGGCCTTTTCTTTAATAAGTAAGTCTGTTAATGTAATGCTTCCAGCTATTATATTTTCAATCTACAGGTTTATTGCTTGATCAAATGATAGATACCTAACTTCTCTATACTTTTAAGATTTAATATTTAAATATTTTATATAAGTTTAAAGAATTATTAAAAACTTTTTACCTGAATGTTTTGCTTGAAATTTCTGTACTAGTTACAGCCATCCATCTATCATATTCTTTTAAAATTTTTAATACAGTGCTTCAGTCAATTGATAAATTTGGATATTTTTCATTAAAGTAACTAGCAATTTTTTGTTATATTTTATTAGCATTAGTTTTTGACCACTCACAAATTGACATTTAAAGTCATCACTAATAGCTGTATGATGCTGTTTTTGCTGATTAGATATATTAAAAAGTTAAAAAAAAATTGGCAATGAAAATTAAAATTATAGTATTAATATGCAATATTATAGTTTTATATTACTAAATTATAAAATTGTAATATTTCTTATCTGTAATTTACAAGTTATAAAATACATTATTACATACTAACAACAATTTTCATTAAATAAACTGCTAAATTAAAAATATTTATAACAATTTTTATCAAATAAACTGCTAAATTAAAAATATTAATAACAATTTTCATTAAATAATCAGCTAAATTAAGAATACTAGTATGATTACAAGAATTACAAA